TCTGGCAATAGACCGAGCTCATGCGTTCATTCTTTTTAAAGATATAAAAACGCAACTCCCACTCTGTGCAAATAACTAAGAAGCATGCAAAAAATACCGAAAATAAACTTCATAGGTGTCATAAATCGACTTTTATCTCTGTCACCCATTGGAAACTAGTGTTTATACACACGAAGCACCACAAAAATTGCCCACGAGGGGACGTCGATGGATCATCAAATTTATGGGGCAAATGATGACCGCATATATATCTATATATAGAAGATTAGACGATCACAGGAACCATGGATTTATTTGCCAGACGTTTCGAAAGCAGACAAGCTTCCGTCATCGGAGGTTGGTTGCATACAGCACGTCAGAGTATTTAAGGGGTTCCCTTCGTGCTGGCGTGTCGCTGACTTTCAGCGCGCTGCGTCACAATGTTTCGCGATTGTTGCCATGGCGGCATCGGTTCTTTCGCATCCTTTGTCGGGTGTGGGAAAGGGGACGACGTCGGGGTGACCGCGGCCATTGCTCTTGTTTGAATTGTCCGTTATCCGCCCTCCACTTGTCTCGACTTCCTGCCCCGTGCGCAGCTGCCCGTAACCATGCGACGGTGGTTGTCATGCCAAAGTTGACGTCGGGCTGGGGAGTCCTGTCACTGTCGGGCGTTCCCACAGAGTGCTCATGTCTGTTCGCCGCCGGTTGTCCCCTGTTTTCGTCTGTTCCCGATGACTGTCTGTGCCAGTCCATGTTCGCGTTTGGTCTAGGTTTAACTACTGTCGTCTCTGCCCTTCGCCTCGTCGGTGGCTGTGCCTGTTGAACTTCATCCCTAGGATTTATTAGGCAGCCGGGAAAGTTACGCAGCGGCTGATCGACGTACTTATGGTTCGCCAGTTTTCGAGCCTCCCTCTGACCGTTTGATCGCTCCATTGGCCTAATTAAAAAGGCATGAAATTTGCATACCTGTAACCTCTTGCCTTTATGGTCAACTGAGAAATTAACTGACGTTAGTAATATATGTTACCGAGATAAAAGGAAATTTTCTGTCCGCAAATTTTCTGAACGCAAATCATGCCGCTGTCATAATCATGGATTTCTGTGAAACTTCCACGCTGGAACATTTTAAATATTGTCTAAGTGTACTCACCAAAGATCGATAATTTCATGGTGTTACTAATTCGGAAAGTAGACTTTCTTTTATTTTCTTCGTCAATGGCAGTGCATAAGTAGTATACTAGATACATTAAGGAACAATTTGTAATAAAACATGGAGACGTTGTAAGAGTCTGAATGCGCACTAAAAGCTTGGTTTACAACTATTATTTAATCAAAAACAAGTTATGGCACCTTTCGCTTTAATGTTGTATTCCATAACTGTTCCCAAACGGTTAAAAATTGCGTAGCATTTAATGCGGTTTTTTACGGATGAACATTTTGTCGCGCTTCAACCTGCCGATTGAAGCATTTTGCTTTGAAAACTTCTGGTAAATAAAGCTTAGTTTGCACATCTTGGAACGTTCGGTAGTCATTTTTTCAGTCTATACTACGAAAGATGGACTGTTGTGAAACACTTTTTCTTCGTTTGATTCCCAAGTACAGGTGCCTATATCTCCCCACAGTTTCCGTCGCAACGATCAGATCAAATCACTGGTAAATGTGGCGTCGGTTAATACTGTAGTAATAAAAAGCTAAAAAGTACGAACTTCTTTTCCGCAAGCTACAAATACCTCTGCCGGCAGATATACTACAGTACCTTTGCCGCAGTGTCGTCAAGTGTTCCGATTATTTGAACAACTAGACGGGAAGTTTAAAAAGGTTAATTATCCGCGGAACACATCCACATGTACTGTCATCTCATATTTCCGAACACACTTCTAGACATTCCGTTACAACCTCACAGCGTTGTGTCTACATATTGCACCATTACAACATAAGTAAGATAATTATTGTTTTGTGGCAGAAATTTACAATTGTTCGCCTGCCTATTTAAAGTTTACACTGCCACCGAACAATCGTGAAACTAGCTTGTTCTAAATTCCAATATTTGTAAATATTTAAAATAAGCTGACATGTTACAGTTTAAATGACGACCAAAGAGCCGACTGTATCATCTGGAGTCTACCCAACGAAAGCAAGAAGCAAACATTCCGGGATGGTCGACCCTAGCCTACCAGTTTTGTTCCGTCTGATGTACTACGAAACCCACTCCAACAGGGTGGCATTAGAGAAGGCAACCAACAAAAGACAAACCGCGAGAAGCTGACACTTGGACACTGTCGCAATTCTAGGTATAAACCTCAATCCACCTGAGGTGCCTGTAACTTACATCTGTGGCTATTAGCCTGGCTTTTATTTAGATGCTTAGATTCAAGCACACAGACCTCGGCGTTCAATGAGGCACGCTTTTAAATGCGTCATTTTGGGGGATAGTTCATCAAACATTAAAATAAGTATAGAAGGTCGACGAATCGATTGCGTTGAGCATGCAGTCGAAAGCATCGTTTCCGATGTCACCTGACTTAAGACGTCCAACCGATAAAAATAGTAGAAAACACACCAGCATGAGTTTCAGGGATTGACAATATTTAAGTCATCTTTGTGTTTAATCTTTGAACGAAAATTGACTGCAAGATGGTAGCATAGTGCAATGCAAACGATGCAACCGCCGGACTCCGGAGATATCGACACCTGTCGACGTTCCTCGGCATATCAAACACCTTGTTCATTCAAACGCTTCCAGCCGAAATTTGAATACACAATCTGGTGGCTTGCGATTGTGAACACTACCTTTTATATCTAACTCCTAGTATTAATGTAAAGCCCTCTCCTGGCGAGCAGAGTAATTTGTCGCAAGTCCCGAGCATCTGTCCGTCCACCCAAATTTCCTAATGAAATAACTCATTGCCATATGACACATTCAGATGCCTACATCATATCCTGCCCTTGCAATACGTTCCCCAAGAATAAGGTGATCGTAACATAACCCTAAGCTCAATGTCACTTTAGGTGCAATTTCTTCGGCACGTTTTGACTCAAACCAATTAGCGTATGAACGCTTTTAGTTTTTTCTACGTGACTCTGCTTGTTTTCTCCAAAAACGACGATCACCAGTGTTGCTCAAGATCTAGGTGGGATAAGGGACCTTGACAAGTCATGAAGACCGGGGACGGGAAAGACTAAAGGTGGCCGCACGGCGAAGAGCCGCAGTTACGCGTACAACCCCATTCTCGGTCCAAAAATCCCACCTGACCAGGATTCTGCAGAGCAATAATAAAGGAGAGTGGCTCTGATGTCAACCTACGAGGCTCGCGTCTTTACCCGAGCCTTTTGTCATGCCACAATGATGGTACCTATTGCGGATGCGCATTTCCTGCAGGATCTGCTATGTCAGATCTAGCCCCTCCCCCGTCGTTTCAGCGCATATATATTATAGCTCGTTTTGGATGTTCTACTTCATTTCTCCCAAGGAATTGCCATCCCACTTTAATCCGTGTCCGCTATATATTTCAAATGGTTGTCTTAGTTCTAAATGCCGTCTTTACCGTACACATCAGCTCTCGCTACGGATGGGTTACTCCGAATACGATATTATTACTGCAAAATATACTTGTTTTCTGGAGTTTGTCTTCACAAATGCAAACAGAGAACATTAAAGCGCATATATCAATAATTTTCTACCAAGTATATGCTGACAAATACTTCCAGCTTCCCGAGTCACTGATGAAAACAAAAAAAGTGACTTTAAGAAGCGATTTAGTGAAGGTCTGTAAAATGTGTACGTGGAAGTCGGTAAATTTCGGCAGTCGAATTAGCCAAAAAAACAATCTTACGCTAGAGATATTGTGATAGTTTGAGCGCCCCATTGTTGATAAGAATAATTAACGAAACTTGACAGCACGTTTCCAGTGGCCATCCGTATCCCCGTACGATTCCTTTTTCACAAAATTCAGGTCCGTTACGGTACCTGACAAACAACACAACAGATTAAACTAATAATGATCAATAGCCGTCCGAATCGTTTGCGCAGTACAAGGCCGCAGAAAGGCATTTAGACTGAAAATATCCAGGATTTGAACCTTAACCTTACCGCTAACTGCAAGCGTTCCGCGTGCGCAGCGTAACAACTTTGCAGTTGACATCTAGCCACATATACAGCATTAGCATGCGCGTTATCCTACGATAATCGTGTATTTAAATAGTCATTTGGAAATAATTCAAATAACATGCGTTTCCGCAAGTAAACAAAAACAGACGGATGATATTTACTTTCTAATGTTCGGTTATCTCTCGGCCATAAAAAATCGACGTCTCAGAACGTACAGTATATTACCTTGCTCACAAAATATAAAAAAAGGTTTTTGGGTTCAGGGCACGGCATATATTTGGTATGGTTATTTTTGTTTTCATAATTCTTGGAAATGAAAAAGCCCTTTTCTAAAAAAGGAGTTGTTTTGGCCAGCTTTGATGAGGGGAAACGGAAAAAATTAGGCAAATTTGGACGTCTCTATATAGTATCAGTATCAGTATCAGTATATTTCAGGGAAAGTAGGTGTGTACCTTTGAAATCCCTATTGGTTACATGCAGAGGATATATATGGAGGAAATGGAAAGGAAGTAACATGAAAGAAATGCGAGGGGAATAGCAAAAACTGTACAGATGAACACAGAATGTCACGCTTTAACAGAGTTTAGAGGCACATTAACTTGCTTTGTTGGTCAAAATACAGCGGACAGTTGAGGCACACTTAAGACACGGGAAAAGAAGTAAAATTGTTTAGTCTACAGGCAACGTGGTGAATGCGAACAGCGGTGTGCGACGTGGCCCATGCTTAATAAATGACATAAACATATATTACTTAAATGTTGGTAGTAGCATCGTTATAACACTAAATTGCCCGCGTTGGCTGTCAAGGTGGCCGTAGTCCGGCGTTATTGTTGTGCGCGCTACAATGCTGATCTAGTCTCCATTTAAAAGTATCTACCGAGCCTGACATAACAACATCCTCAGGCAAGGCATTTCAAGCTGCAACCACTCTGTTTGAGAAGAAGAACTTTCGTGTGTCTAGCCGGGCGCCAGCCACACGCAGTTTGAGTGGATGGCCTCTCAGGTTAGTCGTAGTCGCCAACTCGAAGAATTCTCCAAACGCGAGGCAGCAGCCCTGATTGCGCACGATGCGGAAAGCTTGTATCAGGTCCCCACGTAGCTGTCTGTAACTCAAAGGAAAGAGGTCAAGATTAGCTAATCGCGTTTCGTAGGGTAGTGACCACTGCCCAGATACAAGTTTCGTTGCTCGCCGTTGAACTTTTTCGAGTATGCCCAAGTCTTTAGCGGTCCAGGGTCGCCATGCTTGGATAGCAAACTCCAGATGCGGTCGCACAAAAGTTTGAAAGACCTTGGCGAAGCAGTCTTCATCAAAGGAGGAGAACGCCCGTTTGACAAGGTATAGCATGGACATCGCCGACTTGGCCACCTTTGAACATTGCAGCGAAGGCTTAAGCGACGTTGTGATCCATACACCCAAGTCCTTCTGGGCGTCGACTTCTTGCAGTGGTTTGCCAGTCAGACGGTAGACCGTGTGGTTAGGAGAACTGCTTCTGCCGACGCGTAGGAAAGTACACTTGTTTACGTTGAACGGTAGAAGCCAGTCTTTCGACCATTGCTCGAGGTAGTCCAGACATGTCTGCAGTCGCGCCTCGTCAACTTCGCTTCGTATGGTACTCCAAATCTTTATGTCATCGGCAAACATTGCAACATCGCAATTCAGTTCGTTTGCGCAGTCATTGACGTATACGAGGAACAGCGTAGGGCCAAGAACGGAGCCTTGGGGAACACCACTCTTAACGGCAACCTCGGCAGATTGTTGGTCACCGACGTGGACGGTTTGAGAGCGGCCGATTAAAAAGCTCCGAATCCACATCAGAAGCTTACCCCGCACTCCTGCACGGCTAAGTTTGTATAGAAGGCGGTGGTGAGGCACACTATCGAAGGCCTTTTTAAAGTCGATATAAATGGCATGCACCATATCTCCTCTATCAACAGCCCTAGTCCAGTGTTCCAGACAGTAGAGCAGGTTTGTCACACAGGATCTGCCTTTTCGGAATCCATGCTGAGAATCGGAAAGCAAATGGTTTTGTTCAAGGAACTGCACCATATATTCACATAATTTCCTAATCTAAAAATTATCTCCGCATGCGTCAAACGGAAACGTTCATATAACAAAGCATATCAAAGGTGGCTACTTTGTAAACCGAACTTGTCATTTAAAGTTCATAAAAATCAGGTGGAGTCGAGAATGTAAAAACGCGTTATTATCATGTATCAAGAAGCCATGTGCTTTTCTTAAATACCATTTAGTAAAACTATAACGGTTTATATTGTTAAACACAGTTGTAAGCTTGATCGTCTTACTGTGTTTTAGTACACCTAAAATTAGTGGGCGTATACACGTCGGCAACTCATGCAGCCCAAGGACCCGATTCCCACAGATCAGAAATCGGGAGTCATTTACCGGATAGACTGCAATTACGGTCAGGCCAGTTATGTTGGTGAAACCGGCAAACAGGTCCGCACGAGAATGCACGAGCATAAATTGGCCGTGAGACGGAACGACAAACTCTCCTTGGTAGCCGCCCACGCCTCCTCGCCAGGGCACGCCTTTGACTTCGAGAGCGTGAGAATACTGGGGCAGTCAGACAACCGAGTTGCTCGCCTGCTGCAGGAAGCGTGGCACTCAACTGAGGACACGATCAATCGACATATCGATCTGCCACTCGCTTATCAAGCACTGCGTGAACAAATCAGCAGCGCAGCTGGAGGTCATTCCCGGCAGAGATGAGCTAAATATGCGATGAGTTGTACAGTATTTTCATTCCTTGACGATGGGCTCGCGTGAGAGTTCGAAACGTCGGACAAATAAACCACTGGTCCCAGCAATCGCCTTCCCGTCTTCTTCTATGCAATTACCTGGGCCGCGCGTATTCTCTATCATTCGGAATATATATATATATATATATATATATATATATATATATATATATATATATATATATATATATATATGGAAGAGGAGGATGAGGCGATCTCTGGGGAAGAAGGTTTATTCATCTGACGTTTCGTGTTCATACTCCGAAGATTTGCTCGAGTATGAACACGAAACGTCAGATGAATAAACCTTCTTCCCCAGAGATCGCCTCATCCTCCTCTTCCATATTAACACCTGGGGTCAGCATTTTTGCCTATATCCATATATATATACATTCGAAGTCGAATGTGTGCTTTGGGAAAGGAAGTTTAAAATTTTCGACGCCGGTTCCCCGAGTCGTCGTCAGGCACAGACGGAAAGCACATGCGCCAACACAGCTTACAGCTTAAATGCACGTAAAAAATCGACAATCGTTTGACGCTCACGCCAGTAAGCGGCCGTCGTGTGTGTCAGTCCGTTCTGATGGGTCCTCGCCTTTTCCATCTCTCCTTGAGATTTCTGTACGCGGCATCCAACTCGATGTGCCGGTTGATGCATGTTTCGTCTGAGTGCATGGCCTCAAGGAACTCTCGGTCGTTCTTTGAGGGGCACACAGCGACAATGCGAGTTTTCTCCCAATCAATTGTGTGCCCGTTGTCCAGGATGTGCATGGCCACTTGAGACAGATGGTTTCGCCTCTTCACTGCCAACTGGTGTACGTAGATGCGTGTAGATACGCATTTTCCAGTCTGGCCACAATAGACGGCATCACACGCTTCACAAGATTGCGTGCTACATTTTGCAACTTTTCCTTGACACACACGTGCAGAAATGGTTTTCCGCAAAAAAAGACAACTTAAATAGCATGCATTTTTGACATTGACTTTCGATGGTCTTGCACGTTCCAATATGATTTCATTCAGTTCTTTGATAGAAAATCGCGTCATCGTTAGATTTTATGCCAAAAGAAGGAGCACAATTAGATTTTGAAAATTTTTTATTAAAAGATTTTTCAAGACCCTGTAATGCCAATAAATAGAGAATAGTATATCTGTGCTTATAGCTCCTTCTCTTGAAATGTACAACATGGTCCGCATTTATTGCAACATTTTGCGGATCATTTATGGTATCCTCTTACAGGCATAGTGATTTTCTTATCGGGGAGCACATGCGCCTTGTAGACTGAAAGCACTAAGCGATAATTCAACGAATGTTCAAGCTGCAAATTATTCCGGAATTAGGAACTATTTAAAACCCAATAATACTCTTTTTTGATTATGAAAGTACAAACAGTGTAATTCGCTATCATACGATTGAAAGAACGCAAATTTTTGTACGGGGTTTCTATAAATTATGTTTGAACTTTCAAGAACATTGAGAAGAGTTGTAACAGTGCATGCTACTTAATTAGTCCATTTTACCTGAGTACGGTTTCTACAGAAAATTGAAATGTAAAGAACTTAAAAGCTGACATCCAGCCAAGTTGGAAATATGTTAGCAATATGACCCATGGTAATTAATGTTTCAAACCCACCTTGGTATGCCTTCCTAATCAAAAAATGTCATAATTTAAGCCATTACTTTATGTGATCGGTCATTCACTGAAAAAATTTTATTAGAGAACGTTTTTTTGTTCAAAAATATTATTACTCAAAGGCTTTGCTTCTGAAAAAGCATTAATTTTTGTGATGAGGTCTTATTTTTAGATAGGCTTCCGAAGTCGGCCAAGGTGGTCATATGTGGAAAGAACTTTTCAAGAGAACACATTACGTAGACACCACCTTCCAAGAACTGTCGTCGCCTGATGGGTTGGATGGCCATCAAATGGAGAGAGCAACGGGTCTGACGTTCATCAGCGGTGACATCGACATCGTTAAGGATCCTTCGGTTGCAACGGCATTCATAAACGTCAAATGCACTCCGTAGTGTAGCAGGGTAATGCAACTCTCCACTGCTCAATAAAAATAATATTCCACTTCAGCTTACGCCAATGACGTAATATTATAGTCCACATCCGGCCCCCCTGCCTGCGGCCTTCAAAGCATTTGTTTCCCGTCGACAGCCAGGAACTAAATCCTATCGAATATGTTTTTGCACTAATTTAAAGAATCTGCTCCAGGACCAATTGTAGATCAGAGCTGAGCTATGTGAAATTTATCAAAAGGTGTCGAGAATAAAAGGACTGGTGCTAAAATCCCAGCTGTCCCGTATGTCTCAAAATATAAGGAGCACAATTGACAAAATATATGTCGCTCGAAAACGAACAATTCGAGGCAATGTTTTTCTCTGCCGGGCTGTGTAGACCACGTCTAGTTTTCTAAACGAACGGCAAGGTTTGTAAAAGGATTGACGCAGTGGCACACCAAAGGCTTCATCCCCAAACGCATGGTACAACCAGTCGATATCGAGTCGATATCAAATTTTTGACGCAGATACATAAAATGTACGGCGATTGCGTGCTGTAAGTCGATATCTAATTGACGTCGATTGTTTACGACAAATGAACACCAACATATATGACACATGCGGCCTTCGCTTCCGTATTTTTTACATCGTTCTGTTCAAAGACTAATAATCTGAATTCATCCAGCTTGTTGAGGAGACTCTGACAGTGAGTGTAATAGATTTCTAGACAGTGGCCGCTGGTGCGATCAGCCTCAGGAGTTGGCACCTTTGCATCGGTTAGGCTGTCAGAATGACGGCCTTCGCCCAGAGAAATGTCCTTTTGACCCGAATTATTTGTCCGTTCTTGATTTCTAGGTGTGTTTCGCCGCTGCTCCTCCGCATTCCCAGCTCCGTCATCGGCTCTCTCATTTTAATTCACTCTTCTGCCTCGTAATCTGGTTGAGATAAAACATCAGGATGCTGACCCCACAGAGATTATTTTCCCTGTAACAGGAGCTGAGCCTGTACTTCATCCTCCGAAATGACTTAGGGGTCGAGGACTGGAAGCGGAACCGGATGGTGACTGAGTCATCCCTAGTCAAATTGTTTTAAGAACATTAAAAGACTCATCGTCTCTTAACAGAGCTTTCGCATACCCTTGAAGAAGGTCTAAGTCGTGCATCACTCTCTCCTTTGGAATTGTTGCGGTCGATTGGGCTACTCCTTTTATAACTACATTTTGTTGACGACTGAATCCATTGCTCGTTGTTGTCACACATCTTTTGACTGATTGAGCGTTCTTCTCTCATTTACTTGTTTCACTGGCTTCGGATGAACTAGATATTGGGCTAACGGAACTGGGATCCGTGTACGATTCATTTATCTACGTGTTGATAATCCCTTCTTCCGCGTTTCCTAGGTGCTCGTCACTCAAATTCTTAAGAAGCCTCCTCTTGAATATTCGGTCCACAAGGTGTTCCGATTTTAATTTTTTTTTCAGTCTTCTTTATGGCACGATGGAGAAGTCTCAGTCAGAAGACCAAAACAATAAACAAGAATACTATGGTGGCTACGCAGACGTAGTCGTTACAATCATCACTAGAACAACCAACATAACAGGTTTTGATATCTAGCCTAAATAAATTGTTTTTGACAGTCATGAAGTTATTGACGTTTCGTCCTAACGAACTTAAGGCAATCAAGGTGGCAGTAAAGGAATTAAATGTTAAAGATTAGCTGGCAAATATGTACAAAATTACGCATATTACATAGATTGAAACTTAGTGCTTCGAGATCGTCAATCCCAGAAAAACGTTAGGCTATTGCTTGTTCTACCTCATATCAGGACCAAATATGTTTAATGCTTAAGCTGTGTCCTTATCCATTACCATTGACGACATATCGACTGTTGTAGCGCTTGAATGTTTTTATTCCAAATGGTTGCAGTTTATTGAGTCTTCACTGCAGTGAGGCGTAATTAAATGTCAAAAAGTAATGCTGACGTCCAATAAATCAATGTAGCATTCATTTTTTCGTTCTTCTGCCATCGAAAGGCATAATACATTGACATT